ATTCTAGAATATATAAAAAACTCAAAACAATCAGCCCCCCCAAATATAAAGACCCAATTCAAAAATGGTCATCCGAAATGAACAGACATTTCTCAAAGAAGTAAAAGCAGCAAGTAAATATATAAAAAAATGTTCCACATCACTGGTTATTCGAGAGATGCAGATGAAAACTACACTGAGATTCCACTTCACCCCACAAAGAATGGCTGCTATCAAGAAATCGCACAATAACAAATGTTGGCGGGATTGTGGGGAGAAAGGAATCCTTCTCCATTGTTGGTGGGAGTGAAGACTGGTGCAACCACTGTGGAAATCAATATGGAGATACCTCAAAGAGCTTGGACTGGAGGTTCCATTTGACCCAGCCATCCCTCTGCTGGGTATCTTTCCAAAAGAACTAAAAGAATCATATCACAGAGAAGTATGTGCACCCATGTTTATAGCAGCACAGTTTGTAATAGCTAAAACATGGAAACAGCCCATTTGCCCATCAGTTGGAAACTGGATAAAGAAGATGTGGTTTTTCTATAAAATGGAATATTACTCAGCCACAAAGAATGAAAAAATAGATTCATTCATAGGAATACGGATACATATTGAAGATATACACCTAAGTGAAACAAGTAAGTCACACATGTGTAAATACCGAATAGTTTCTCTGGTGTGAATAAACTGTAATAATACATAAGATTCTAATAAGATTACTGACATTGTGAAATGGGAAGAAAGGGGCTTAAGGTGTAGTGAAGGTGGGATGGGTAGGGGAAGAGTAACAAGGGAAAAGAAAAAAATGTGAGATAATGAAAAGATGGAAATAAAGTGTTTGTAGATGGGGAGGGTAGGAGGGGGTGAAGGGAGGGCAGGAACAAGGGGAACAAATGAGAACCAAGACCTGTCATGTAGAGATACAAGATCCCAACAATGAATGTAACTGTACTGCATCCCTAAAATGTACCAATAAACTCAATTAAAGCTGAAAAGAAAAGAAAACAAACAAACAAACAAAAAAAACCACCTCTTTCAAGAATTAAAGGAACAACCAAGTAGAAAATAAGCAAGGATACAGAACAGCTCAAAAACATTATACAATAAGATTTAACTGATGTTGATAAATTATTTTCCACCCCAAAACAATGAATGCACATTTCTCTCTAGCATTCATGAAACACACGTCAAGAAAGAACATATATTGTAGTGGGTGCTAAGACAAAGTAATGAATTTGAAAGAACTTAAATAGTGTTATCAAATTAGTAACAGAAACAAAACGGAAAATCTTGAAACAATTGTAAACCAAAGTATCATAGAAAACTATGAAACTTAGGTATCTAGAAAAAATTTGAAATACACTAAATGAATGAACAAGAAAAAACAACATAATCAAAATTTGTGGGGAACAGCTGGATCATTCTCTGGAGGAAAATTCATAGCACTAAATGTTTTTGTAAAAAAGAAAAATGTCTTAAATCAATCACCTAAGTACCTACTTTACCAAATTTTATAGAAGAGCAAGATAAATAAAAATCAAAAGGAAACAGTAAAGAACTAAATTGAAAACAGAATAATAATGAAAATGAAACAAAAATCTCATTCTTACCAAGCCCACACACATGAATTTAATGACAGATAAAATGAATTAATTTCTTAAAAAGAATAAACTTCTACAACTCACTATCAAAGAAATAATTTGAATAGCCCTGTAAGTGTTAAGGAAATCAAACCTGTAATTTTAAACTCAAAAAAGAAATCTCTAGTTTCACTGGAGAATCCTACCAAACATTTAAAAAAATAATACTTTTCAACTTACATAATGAGGCCAATATAACCTTGATACTAAAACCAGACAAAGATATACAAAAAAGAAAATAGACTAATACCAGTCAACAATACTGGTACAAATATCTTTAAAATATGAAAAGATATTGTAAGGGATTGTAAAGGATATATGACAAAATTAAACACCTATTCATGATAAAAGTTTGATACGGTCCATAATAGAAAAAAGTCAATAAATTGGACTTCATGTACAAAGCTTGTTATAATTCCAAATTCTGAGGAAAAATAATTATTTTGGTTCTATGAAAGATTCTGTTAAGAGACTGAAAAAAATAAAATATAGACTGGGGGAAAATAATTGCAATCCATGTATCTGACAAGAGATGTCTAGAAGATATAAAGAATTCTCAAAAATCAACAGAATACCCAATACTCCCATTAAAATATGGGCAAAAGATACTGAAGAGCCTATTTACTGAAAAGGATGAAAACACAGTAAATAAATCCATGATGATATTAAATATCACTGTAGCCATTAGGAAAAGTAAAATTAACACCATAATAAAATGTTATAATATACATATTAGAAGCAAAATAAAAATTAGCAATAATATCAAATGATAGAAATGATGTGGAGAAACTAGATTTTTCATACATTAGCAGTAAGAATGTATTATGACCTAAATGTAGTAGAAGCTAAATGTGTATTTAAGTTTAAAGAAGCTAAATATACACTCAAGTGATTTAGCAATCATATTGTTAGCTTCCATCTTTGGAAATGAAAACCTCAGTTCATACAAAAACTATACAAAAATGTACAGAGTAACTCTGTTCATAAGACAAAAATTGTATACTATCAAATTTTTCCTTAACAGGTGAATGGTTAAATTATGGTATATTCATATCATGGAATACTAATCAGCTATAAAATGGTCTAGTATTTGCAAGAACTTGGACAGATCTCAAGAACATTAACTGAATGAAAAAAGCTAATATGAAAAATATAATATCATTGATACAACATTCTCAAAATGACAAAATTATGAAAGAGGCCAAAAGATTAGTGGTCCCTATGGATTATACATAGTGAAGGCAGAGGAAATGGGTAGGACTATAACAGAGGTGGTGACAAAAAAAATTCTGTATTTTGATTGTGGTGGTTCCATAGACCTACATGTGATAAAATGGCATATAACTATACACACATTGTATCAATGTTCATTTACTAGTTTTGATATTATAGTTATGTATAATTTAGACAATGGGGGAATCTCAGTAAAGGGTACACTGAACCTCTGTACTATCTTTTAGCTTTCTGTGAGTCTACAATTATTTCAAAGTAAGATTTTTAAATAGGCCTATGAATATGTATATTTTACAATTTATGTATATATAAAACTAGCTCAAAGCTGTTTCCCATCATTTTATTCTAAAGAGAACAGTAAAGACTTTATTATCATTCAGTGACAAAATAACATGATGCCTACTTTAAAATTATTTACTGTTTTCTGCAAGACTATGCCCTCTTCTAAGAAAACACATTTGATCCATTTTTTTTTGTCCCAGTCACCTACGACTATTTTTCACATATAATAGGTATTGAATAAATATTTCTTAAATAAAGTTCTCAAGAAAGTCTACTCTAAATGGAGGATTAGAGTTTCAGGTCATAAGAATGAGGCTACTGCTTAGCTTTCGGTGACAATCTTGTAGAAACTTCATTTTCATGTATTTTAAAAGCCTCCAGGTATTAACAATGAATAGAACTCTGATCATGAAGCAAAAAGAAAGAGAAAGATCACTCACAGTTCCAAGGAAAGTATGTATTACACAAGGGGAAAATGTCATGATGGAACTTTCAAAGAAAGAAGAATTTTAAAAATATTAGGCAGAATCTTTAAGCGAAAGGAAAATAATCTAAGAAGCAACAGAAAATAAGTTAACACTGCTATTGTGTTCATGTGGGATGTATGTTTCTAATAAGAAAATATACAAAGGGAAAATAGTAAGTTTGACCAAGGAGGAAACAAAAAGGATACTATCACAAGGTGTTACTGAAAAATATGATGAATGTTTAATTCTTTTTCTTTAGTTATTATAGCAAAAGACACATTATAGTAGTTCTGGAAATCCTCTTTAATGTCTCTAGTTGTGCTGTCATGGCTGCCTCAGTGTATGGATCAATTCACAATGTTTACTTTTCATAGTCATTTTGACTTTGGGGAAGAGTCAGAAGTTGCATAGCTCTCAATACAGAAATTGAGATGAATACAGAAAGACATACTGTAATGTTTTTACAATCCTGCCTTTCCATTGGCACCTGCAGTAGCATTGACTTTGTAAAGGCACTCATGAAAGAGGGTTTCCAAAAGTGCTTCAGAAAGTGATAAAAACTATGGAATAGTGTTTGAGGTAAGGGGGAATATTTTGAGGGAGATTAATCGCAATGTGTCTTTTAGTGTAATAAATTTTAAAAATTTAAATATTCACTGCATATTCTGATTAGGCCTCACAGAAGCACTTCCTGATGAAAACTAGCAATTATTTTAAATGTTATATATGCCATATTTTATTGTTTTAAATACAATTATGTCTGATTTATTAGCAATTAAAAAATAAGATAGCAATCTTTATGACTTCATGCAAAACTATGTTGGACAATTTGAGGTAAAGCAATTTAAAGCTAAGCAATTTAGCTTCTGAAACACTGATCTTAGAAAAGAATTGTTAAAAAACAACATACCTGTGGTCAAGTGGTCAAGTCTATGAGAACTGGTAGTTTAACAGGTTGTACTTCATAAAAACAAATTTAGAAGATTTTCTTCATTTGTTATATTTTATATTATGTCAGGAAAACATAAATATGGAATGATAAAGCTAATAACACTTCTTAGTCTGATTCCAAACTCTGAAATCAAGTTTTTATTTACTGCTTAACATTCTCTATAATGATATTAAAAAACAAAGAATTTTGTGTAATGGTAATATAATTTAAAATCATTCTATTTGAAATCCAGCAAAAGTTACACCTGACTATTCAGAAGTAGATATTCTAACATTCTGGAAAACAAAGTAATCTCTTAGGTCACAGAAGTCAGGAATTTACTTAGTAGTCATTGCTGGTATGCAACTTGAGCAAGCCAAGACCAGAGGAAGCTTTTCCAAAAATCTTTTACAGTAATACACCAGGCATTTTATACTCCAATTTAGACACTGCAGGACTCACCAATTGTAATCCAGTCGAGACTGATGAAGCTGCTGCTGTTTGAGAAGAAGCTTTGTCTCCTGCTGAGCTAGCAGATGCTGAAGGCGCTCCTTTTCAATTTCTAGCTCCATTTTCTGAAGCACCAGTTGTTGCCTTCTATCTTCTGAAAGTTGCTTTTTGACTTCAATTTCACTGGGTTGCAGTGATCCTTTACTATGCATGATAGATGCCCAAGAAAGCCCACAATAACTGCATGATTCCGGATGTATCCTAGAATATTGAAGGGCCATGTTTGTAGGTTGGATCTCATGAACACAATCTTCATTTTCAGAAAGTCTGTGACTACAACATCGTCTAGATGGAGCAGGCTTAAAATGTGGACATTCCTTCATCTTCAATGCTTCTGGTGGAGCTGTTTCTTTTGGGGCTACATCAACTGGTTTTCTCCCTGGAGATTCATAATTACACGTTCTTATCTCTGATGGCAGCCTCTCTAGACCTTCTTTGGGATGAGAAAGGGTTGTTGGTTTCAAAGAATTATTCCTAAACTCCATAAGGGATTCTGAAGCTGAGACCCGGTTTGCAGACTTGGGCCTTTGCTTGGTTTGATAGTAGGTTTGTGATTTGGCTACATTCAAGTAGGAACCATCCAGTTCCACAGATGAAGACTGGAGAGTGCTATTCCTATTGGTTATCTAAAAAGAAACAAAATGTCACATGTCAAATAAAAACACAATAAAACAAGTTCTTTCTTTTGGTTTTTCAGAACTTAAAGATATATGTTCATTAGAAAAACTCTTGTTCAGTATCTTAAAATTAAACACCATTTCTATAGCTGAACATATGTGTCACAAAGGTACATCCATTTGTAGGTTTGACAGCCTATACTTCAGTAAGTCCATATAAGGACAAAAAATATAGGGTTGCTACATGGTCCTTAAGCAAGATCTTTGGTGATTTTAGGAGTTGGCAAATAATGAATGTTATATAAAATAAACTTTTAGCAGAGGCATTGAATTTTAGTATCTAAAAATGTTTACTTTTATATACTGAACTAAGAATCAATTCAGCTACTTTAAATACTCTTCAAGTAGCCATTACACAGAATGAGATTTGATGTAAAACATTTCACCTTATACTGAATAGAATGTTACTGCTAGAAATTTCCTAAGTATTTATAAATATCAGAAGACAAATAAAACCATTTTGAACAAAACACATTTAAGCAAAAGCAGCTATTTATATAAAATATATTTAATTTTGGTTACAAACATACATGATTTTTCAGTTAAGCTGTTCAAATGGTAATAGTCTGATAGAACCTGGGCAGAAAGGAAATAGATGCAAATTACCATTGACATCACAACAGAATGAGCTTTTCCAACATCTTAGCATTTAAAGCCTGTTCTACCTTGGAGAGAGCAAAACTTAGCCTCTATCAATCATTCTCAAACTTTAACAAGTAGCAGAAGTACCTAGAGGGCTTGTTAAACATGAAAAGCTGGCTTCATCTCAACAGATTCCAACTCTGTCTGGAGCAGAGTCAGATAATTTTCACTTCTAACAAGCTCCAAGATGATGCTGATCTGGAACCACACCCTGAAAACCACAGATCTTTGCCATAGACTATCTCTATCTGCTGAACTGTTGGCCTTGGGAGACTGGGTTGTTATACTTCACTTAGTTCTAAGTATCCCTGATTCAGCAGAATAAATAAATAAAACAGCTTTTCTTCACTGTTTCAGAAACCTGTGCTATCTAAATTACAGATTGCCCAACTGGAAATATTCTAGTATTAAACAATGTTGAGTGTGCAATAGATAAACGACTTGTTCATGAAGGTAGATACTTGCTATTGACAAAATACTGAAAGAAATTAATGTAGAATCTAAATCAAACCAGATTGATGGGGGGATGCACTTCTGAAAAAGTTGAAAATGAATCCAGCCTATGCTCAGAACCCTCTAAAATCTTAATGCTTCCTTGCAGATGACATTTTCAGTATAAGAAAAGGGGGCCACATAGTCCAATTATTTAACCAACAAGATAGGTTGTTCAAAAATATATTAAGCCTAGCAGCTGTTACTTCTTTAGAAATGCCAGAGTACAATGTTTAATACAGAAGTTGAAAGAAATATATTGTCCACCTTTGGAAAAACTTTGTTTACCAACCTGGATTTTACTGAAAAATGAAAACTAGAGAAAGAAACTAGGCAGACAAGACAAACATTTAAAATATCTGTGACAGCTTCCACTCTCATCTTTCTCTTCATGCTGGCTTTCATTCAAAGCCAATTTACATTAACTCTTTACTGCTTTTCCATTTTCTATCCCTATATAAACAAATCCAGAAAGTAATCATTTAGTGAACACTAATATTAACAAAAATCCCTCTTAATCTTTTTTTTCCTTTTAAATCTACTTCAAATGCTCTTTTACTTTTATGAACAGTTATTTACAAGCTGAGAGAAGCTTATTTGCTCAAGGCTACAAAAGAAATATGACATTTCCAGTAAACTCATACATAACAACTTCTATATTAACTTCCTATTTCTTTTGTAACAAATTACCACAAACTTCACGGCTTAAAACAACAAAATTTATTTTTTTACAGTTCTGGAAATCAGAAATTAGAAAACCATTTCATGTGCCAAAGTCAAGGTGTTTGCAGGGTTGGTTCCTTTGGGAGACCCTAGGAGAGAGGGAGTCTCTTTGTCTTTTTCAGCTCCTAGAGTCTACTTGAATTCCTTGATTTGTGGCCTTTCCTCCACAGTGAAAGTACATCACTCCAATTTCTACTTCCATTATACTGCCTTCTCCTTACTCCTCCTAAGTCTTTCTTATAAGTATCATATGGATTTTATGGGGTCCATCCAGGATATCCAGGATAATTTCTCCTCTTGATTCTTAATCTCATCTACAAAATCCTTTGCTTTACAAAGTCCACTGCACCACACAACATGACGTTCACAGGTTCTAGGAATTAAGACATAAGCATACAGGGGCGGAGGGGGCAGTGGCATTTTTCAGTCTACCACAATGTCTTAAATAAAACTAATATACAAACAGTTGAGGTGGCTGTTTTGTGGCAGCAAAGTGCCAACCAGAACATACAGATAGGTAATCCAGGAGAATGGAAGATGCACCTAGAAGTTTTGGAGGCAAAGTGTACAGTTTTAACACGAGCGGGTCAGTCTGGGGCTTCTGTACAAAGAGACTGACCCCACTTTGGGGTTGAACAGGGCAGATTATACTCTTGGGAGGGGGGCGGGCTTGTAGGAGTTAAGCACTTTACATTGGTTACATAGAGTACAAGTCATTTGGGCCCAGCACAGTCACTGGTTATCAGATGTTACAGACAGCAAGCTCAGGTGCACAGAACCACATCTCATTTACATTTGGTGGGGAGATAGAAGTAACAAAACTGACAACAAAGAAAATTCCTGAGATGCTTGAGAGGAAGTGTCCGGAAGCCCTGACATGTTGAGGGAACTTTTCCATCAGTAAGTTTGGCTTTTACTGCAGAGAAGCACACTTCCCGTTCAGTTTGAGACACAGAATGCGTGAATATTGAGATCCCTGGCAGAAGGGAAGAGGGATCAGTTTACTTTGCAATAGCTGAAAATGGTAAACTGATGAGGGTGAAAGTGTCAACTAATAGAGATGCACAACACACTGTTTCCTACTGTATGATAAAGAGGACTATTATAATATTTTTAAAGACTATGAGTTCCTAAAATATTTCCATTAAATGAATGAGTCCTATCTAGGTAGAAGATGGTTCTCTTCAGAGGACATGCAATCCTGTACACGAAGCTGATGACAAGCTGTAGAATACGAGCCAGTCCTAGGCAAAATATCTAAGAAACTATACCATAAAAACTGAATCTTAGTTTACATCTAAAGGGAGACTCTTGTCCACCTTAATCTGTTAAATACAAATATTTAACATTTACCGTCTGATATTTTGTATGGTAAGGTTTGTATAGAATTACTATACTTTAAAAATGACAAGTAAATTTATGAAAAATCTAGAAACAAAATATATCACATTTTAATATATGTATAAAAGTATATTATTTTATATTCTCATTTTTGTTTAACATTACTTACATGTGTGGATTTGTAGGTACTGATGTATTATTCTATGCTTACTTTAGTGACACTGATTGTTAAATTATCCATAAATAGATATTTAAAATATTTCTAAAATTTCTTTTGTGTATATAACTTTTTATGCTTTTGAAAGGTACTACAACTTAATGATTTTGATATCTGCTTTGCTAAAAAAAAAAAAACAACCCACTGCTTTGAAAAGATTTCTGGTACAGGTGGCAGGCTCAGGCCAAAAACTGTTGAGAAAACAGGACATTCATTATGCAGATACAAGAGACTAACTTCTACCAACAACCTTGTGAGCTTGCAAGAGAATCTTAGGCTTCCTGATAAGAATGTATCCTTGGGCCGGGAATTTAGCTCAATGGTGGCATGCTTGCCTCACAGGTGCAAGGTCCAGAGTTCAATCCCCAGACCTGGAGAAAAAAATATAACCCTGCTGTTATCTACAGGGCAGCATTATTAAAACTGAGAGAAGACCCAACTAAGTTGTGCCCATGCTCATGGCCTATGGAAACCGTGAGATAATAAATGCATGTTGTTTTAAGTAACAAAGCTTGCGGGGATGTGCTGTTATACACCAACAGAAAATCAAGCACATTACTTAATTTGTCTAAGCCTAAGGTTTCTCATTAGTAAATTTAACAGGGGTTGAAAAGAGAAACTATATCAAAACTGAATGTGGAGGTTAGTTAGATGGGCAGTTATTACCAGTGCCAGTTTATAAGGACCCAATTTAAACAATGAAAAAAAATTTACTTATATTTTTGCTCAAACTTCTTTCAAGAATATTGTGTGAAGAGACACAAAGGGTGGGGGGAGAAAATATAAGATCAGATTCTTCAAAGAGCATGAATACTATCTCTAAACTATCTCTTAAGAAGAACAAGCTCAGTTCAGTTACTATCTTAACTTTGCTAAAGTGGGGTTTGCGAATCAGGTCAGCATTGAATTGCTTGAGATAATAGAGAGGCTCTTCTTCACCTTTCTCCTTTACACAAAAGATATCAGTCGTATGCTAATATCTTGTATTGCCTCTTAAAGTTGTCCTGACTAAATGAGCTAACTCATAAAGAGTGTTGGGATTATGCCTAGTATAACATCAGTATTCAAAATGTTTCTGATTATTATTATATTATTCTTGTCATTGATTTCTTTGCCTCAACAACTTTTGAAGGCAGGAGCTATATTTATCTCTTTGTACATGTAGGCCTTCACATAATATATTCTCAATAAGCATGGGCTGACTGTACCACCTTAGCAGAAAAATTCAATTAGAATGAATGACTAGTCTAAATTATGTAAAAGAACAAGGAAAGGGAAATGAAGAGACTCCCTGTTAGAGTCTAAATAGAGACCTTAGTGGTCCAATGGCTCCAATGGCTCCAAGCTCAAACTTTCCACTACTCAAACAGCAAAGTTAAAAAAAAAAAAATCTGCTCAGTGTTTACAACTTTGCTAGGTAGTTAAACTGAACATCCTACTTGAAAAAATTTGTGTGGGCTGAGGTGAGTTACATGTCAGGTCTCATCAGGGACACAAAAGTGGTGACACTTCAATCTAAGTGCTGCTCTCACCC